TGTTCTTGTCCTAAGTATTATCGTTCATTACCAACCTTCATGTGATTATTCTATTCAGTAACCTTCCCTAGGTTACAACATTTGTCTCCATCTGAAATTTTCAAGGCTCTAAATGATTTCTAATGAAGCGAAATAAATAGTGAAACATGTAAATTTTTTATAAGTTTTTCTACTTGATCTTTATTTAGTTATTTTATTGTATTTAATTCATATCTTCCATTCATATACATAAGTGTATGTTTTGGTAAATTCTGTTTGCTTCATCCGTTTTACATGAGTTCAAAACATTGAAAAGCTAACAATGCAAATCTCAAATCTACATATCCGTGACATATGGATCCTGTGATAAACAAAAAACTTACTCAGATTCACTGATCAAATAGAGATCTTTATTATAAGATTTCAAATCTAAGTTGCCGATACTTTGATTGGTAGCTTAAATGTGACGTAATGTTTTACATCCCATCATAACTTGCCTGTTCGTGGAATTATTAATAATCATTAAGTATCTAGATTTACAACTATATTACTAATTATTGTCGACTAAACTTACTCTAATCTGGTACAAGGCACCCAGAAAGGTATGAATCCTCAACAAAAACAATGTTTAGATAAATTTGACGCAATACTGAGGCACTCATTAAGCATTGAATTTACTAACAAAGACTAGTTTGTTGGTCAATGTCAAGTGTTTTCTTTGTAGATATTTATTAAACTTAGAATTGAAGAGCGAGTCGAAGTCATAATTGAAGAGATTCGCTCAAAGAGAATTCACTTCATTGGTTGTTGGTGGAAGCGCATAAGAGGAAGAAGGTAAAAAGAGACTATTACGTGGATATTTAGGATATATAACAGTTGACCCTATCAACCGATCGAGGAAACAGTTTTGAGGATGAAGCTGTCTGAGTGGAATCTCCTCCTTATTAATGGAATACGAATTGTATGAGAATGATTTTACCCTGTGCCCATGGCATGGCGTGTTATAGGTGTGAAGGTCTGGACTGGTTGAACTAAAGATTATAGCGCGTTTGAACTTTTTTTATTAAAATAACGATAAATTAGTAAGAAGCTAACAACGTTTCATCTGTGAGGAAGGGCTTTTGTAAGGTGGGAAAATAATTCATCCTCCAAAAGACCGCATAAACACTTTTAAACTCTATCACGGTTGGAAAGTGAAGATTAGGTAGCGCCAGCCTAACTTTAATAACAATAATCTGTTTTTGATCTGATCAGTACAAGGAACCGAACATTTTTTAAGCATCTTAAGCGACTTATCGTATATATGAGTTCAACTTGAGGTCACGAGTTACCTTGAGTCATGGCAAAGAGCCTCAATAAAAGTAGAGCCATTCATTATGACAGGATATAAATTCAGGGTCTTTTCAGTGATTATAAAATATCACTAACTTGGATTTGGTTGCTTTGAATGTTACAAACCAGTTTTTCTCTATTGAGCTGTTAGAACTCAATCAGGGGAGAGATCAGCTGCCAGGCTCTAGTCATATAGATTTTAGATGTGCACTTATAAACCGTGGTATCGTCTGCATATATATTCACTAATGATCTGAAGTTTTTCTTAAGCAGATCGTTAATATAAAGGAGAAAGATGGTAGAAGCAAGAAAGCCTGGAGGTATGTTTCCATTGATTCGATAGGCTTCGGAGGACCGGCCATTAACGCCGACCTTGATGAACATATCTGACTGCTGACAGCCAGACATACAAGGGATTATAAACAAAGAATGTTAAGAAGTTATCAAAGTCCCATTATCACTGCAATTAATGCATGTCTATGTTTTGATGTAAAAATTTATTTAGTAAATATAAAATGGAAGAAAACTATGTAACACTAGTTTCCTCGACTATTTTAGAATCCCACATTGAAAATTGTGCCTTTGTATAATTTAAACGACAAGAGGGAACACCGAAGGCAAAAACGCATTTCTTATTTCTACAGATCGAAAAAGGCACTTGCTTGCGTGCAGGCATCGAGATGTAAATACGTTCTGATTAAATATTCGGCAGTTTTCCAATTTTTAATCATCTCTAATGGTTGAATATTTTTTTCTTTTTCTTATATGTTTTATAGACACGTCATGAGACTGTTGACAACACGATCTTAAACATTCAGAGCTGATGATGCTCCTGTTTACAGACGAGAAAAAAACAGGATTCAAAAGTGCATCATAAATTTACCTTAACTCAGTCTCTTTCTCCCTCTCTCTTTCACGGTGTGTTTGTTAAATTTTAAAAGTTAAAGAGAGAGAGAGAGAGAGAGAGAGGGTGATTTTGATGCTAAATTTTAAGATCAGTCCATTCACATTTCGTTAATCAGTCAATCTTAATTGCAAAAAAATGCCAGTCTATAATCCTGCAGTAACCTCACGCCTTTTTCATTTGGCTCATTTGAATCTAATATAAATAATTGATACCACACACACTTCTGAATACCATCTTTTCATCGTATTGCTTTCCCCAGTTTCATTAATTCTTGACCAAAGGCCATATTTGTTTTTTTTTTTATTTCCGTTTCCACTTCCGTCGTCTATAGCTTGGTGGGCAACGAAGGTCATGTCACGTCGCCCCACGACTTCTCACTGAAGCTTAGGATCAATACCAATATCGCGCTGTTGAACACTGCGGTCAAGCCTTGGGTCGAAGAGCTTGGTTGTACGTGTTCCAGTATTTTTCTTTTCCCTCCCACGTGATCCTTGTGACCTTGGTATAGCTATTAAACTGATTTGTCATCAGTAATTTTAGCGATGAAAGTAGAGTTACACTGGGTGGACGTGATGGCTAGCCGAAAAAAAAAATGGGTCCTTCATGGAAATGATCAACAATTAGGCTTTGAACAGGAGAGATGGAAGGTGCAGGCCTGTCGTTGGAGTGTTTTTAGTGGAGAGCTGACCTTTAAGTCAGGGAGCTGCGACTTTAAATTTGCACACAAAATTAGTTCACATCATTTTCATACATGGGCGGAGTCTTACGACATTCTGGGAAGGTGTTGTAATATTTTAGTATTGTCCTCGTCCACTGCGAGGAAAGTTGGCTCCCTGAGCCGCGCTAAGAAGTTCCCCCCCCCCTGAGTCGATCCTCCAGATATACAAATCCACAATTCGCCCTTGCATGGAGTATTGCTGCCATATATGGTCTGGCGCCCCTTCTGTTTGCCTCGGGGTTCTTGATAGGCTCCAGAGGCGGATATGCAATGTAGTTGGCCCTGCCCTGGCGTCTCGTCTACAGTCAATTTCTCACAGACGCGCCGTCGCCTCCCTCTGTCTGTTCTACAAATACTTTCATGGAAATTGCTCCGAGGAGCTGCATTCGCTGGTTCCCAGATGTCATGAGTTCCAGCGCCCTACGAGGCTGGCATCCCGCTCTCACCCCTTCACTGTCGAAACTCCTAAATGTAGCCGTCTCTTCTACTCTAATAGCTTCATGTCTCGCACCTATAATCTCCAGCTATTCAAATGTAATGTCAATCGACATCTCCAGTTGCCTTAATCTATCCACTACCCTCATCCTTTCTTCTATCACTCCTATCTGATCTTGCTATTTCCTGTAACCCCTTGCATCCTAGTGGCTTCCCGCCTTGCTTGGGGTGAAACGCTTAAAAAAAAAAAAAAAAATAAGAAAAATTCTAGGTCCCTTCAAAGTTCATAAGAATATCAAGATCAATTATATGTTCAAGATTGTTTCTGTTTTAATGGCATTGGTTACAACCCAAATGTTTTAAAACAAAGGATAAATTATTATTCCAATAAATGGTTTTCAAACTTTATCAAAAATGGTTTCAAAGACACCAAATTAAGTGAATACCCACTGAGGCTCTCCATATATTAATACAATATAAAGTTTATGGTCAATCACTAAAAGAGATTCATATGAGAATAGAAAAAACATTCAAGCAAAAAAAAATATCTGAGAAAACAAGGGAAATGGTTGCTTGTAAGGTTAAAAGAGTAGAAAAGTTAACAAAATCTACGACTGAAATACTGATTACGGTTATAGAATATGCAAGAGTCAATATTAAAATGTTACATAAAATAACGATTGATTCAGACATCGGTCGGTTAATATTAATTTTACCGAAGATTTGTTTCCCAAACAAAAGGTGTTTTCCACGCACAATTACATAACAAAAAAGACCGAAAAATCTGATGATCATTTTTAGAATTGTACTTATTGACCTCATCGAATTTGTAATTAGTAAATATAAAATCGTAAGTCGTAAATATAAAATATAAAAAGGCAGTACTTAATTTTTCTTAAATGAACGCAATTTTTTGATGAAAGATGTTGATTTTGGTAGACAAAATATGGCAAAAAGATTAAAGCTTTAATGAGCTATGCCACACCCGATTTCAGGTGCTTCGCTAATCCTACGTTCTTTTTGAGATTAGTGAAAAAACAATCAAAATTTGGACTTCGGAAATTTCGTAAAACCTTTCCACATGCAGAAGTCATTTAATGACAGCCATTGATTGGCATTTATCCGTAGGAGGCGCCCACGCAGAATGTGAGAACAAGGTTAGAGTTTAATGTGGGATTTCAGTCAGTCGTTTAAAAATTGCTCTAGTACCCTCGGCACTTTCTGTTTGGGAGCGCCAGGTAATGACACCAGCCACCTTCTGTAGAATGGCCTCCTGGAGTTCTAGCGGATATTAATTTAAACAAACTCTCCGGTCCGGCTGGGCTGCGGGATGTAAAATGATTTACTAAGTATGGCTTAGATATGGCTTAAGGCCTCATTTACAGAGCACCCAATGAAGATTGAACTCATAAGCAATCGTGCGAGACAAACTTGTTAACCATTACACAATGTCTAAGTATCCAAATGACAGTATCTGTTGTGGTTGTGTCAAGAAAATCTTTATGAAACATTAAGGGGTGGCATCGTCAAGGATTTCTTTTTACCACGAAATCTATCGAAAATATTCTAATAATATTTATTCTTCAAAAGATTTTAAAAGACAAATTCTTCAGATTTTATTTCTATGTAATGCTTTTCAAACCAAAGATACAAGAATATTTAGTTTATTTATATCAAAATGAAAATGTTTATGTAACATTAGAATTCCGTAATATTTCGGAGAATTTCATTTATTTAATTCTCTTCCTGTATCTCTCTCTCTCTCTCTCTCTCTCTCTCTCTCTCTCTCTCCCCACTTCCTCCTCATTCCTCGAATCACCCTCTTTTCTTTCCATCGCTCTGCCTCATTTTACTGTTACTTTCACTTATTCTCTCTCTCTTCCTGTCACAGTTTTTCACCTATTTCTTCTCTCGTTTATTTTCTTTACCTTCTCTTTTTCTCTGTCCCATCCTTTCTCTTACTACCTCTGTCTCTGTCTCTCTCACTTTTTATTTTCATCTTACTCCCTTTAACTCTTTCTCTCTGTCCCATTATTCTTTTTCAGTCATTCGTTTAAAAATTGCTCGTATCCTCAGTACACTTCCTTTCTGTCTTATTCTTTATTTCTCTTTCACTCTCACTCTCTCTTACTCTGTTCTTTCTCTTATTCTATCTCTAACTCTGTCTCTCTCTCTCTCTCTCTCTTTGTTCTATTCTCTTTTATTTTGCCCTTCTACCTTTCTTTCATTCTCTCACTCTTTCTCTTCTCCCCTCTTTCACTCTCTCTTACTCTGTTCTTTCTCTTATTCTATCTCTAACCCCCCTCTCTGTCTCTCTCTGTTCTATTCTTTTATTTTGCCTTTCTCTCTTTCTTTCATCTCTCACTCTTTCTCTTGTCCCCTCTTTCACTCTCACTCTCTCTTACTCTATTCTTTCTCTTATTCTCTCTCACTCTCTCTCTCTTTCTTCTATTTTATTTTGCTCTTTCTCTCTTTCTTTTACTCTTTCTCTTGTCACTCTCTCTCTCTCTTCCTCTCTATCTCTCTCCCTCTGTTTACTATTCTGCTTTTATTTTGCCTTGTCTCTCCCATTCTTTCGCTATTCAATTTTTTCTATTATCCATTCTTTCTTTCTCTTTCACATCTCTCTCTCTCTCTCTCTCTCTCTCTCTTGAATATTGACTACAGTGTACCTTTCCCGTTATGGCCACCACTGTCTTAGCAGTTATCGACCTACTTTATCATGGCGGTGAAAAGAATTATTAAGGACTAGTGAGGGTGAGACAGCCAGCCAATCATCATACCATACCCCACATCCCTGCGGCCAGAAATCTAACCAATCATTCAACTCTATGCACTCGATGCTGCTGCTGTCTGTGTTAACAGACACATTCATATAAAATAGGCTCATTACATATCACTCGAATGTTGGCCTGTCATCGCTTCAAGTATCGACCGTCAAAAGCCTTCATAATATGCCACCACTACCACTTTTCCTTTTTCAATGTTTTATTTACTCTGCTTAAACATTCACACAGAAATTAGTTTTTAAAGTATTTTTTTTTATTGTAACGGGCGCGGTTCACCAAATACAGTTGTTGCATTACTTTTATAAACGTTCCTACACGTTTGAAGTAACCTCGATTTGTTTCGCGCCGTTTCAGTTAATTTAAATCGTAATATTTTATATTGGACAATCTGTTGGTTTCGGTCAAATGGTCATAAAAGCCATAGATGTAAATTTCGCTCTGATTTATAATTATCATTATTAATTATGATTATTATTACTTACTGAATGTTTCCACTAACAGTAATCAATGGCCGACAATAGAAAATAAGTTACAAAATGTCTACTCACTACTCCCGAACTTTTAAAATTAGCAGTTTCAATAATACTGTCGTCTGAATGCTTCCTAATTTTCTCCTAAATTCAAGTTCTTCCTGTCTCTTTCCGAGGCTCTTCGGTCCGGTCAAAGTGCTCCGATAATTATTGGTACTATTACTAATATTGAAACGGAGTCTCAAGTTTCTCGACCTTCATTTTACTCTATTTTTGAAAATGGATTGACAAATGCTTGCAAATTGTTGGTATATTCCTGTTAAACTGGAGCTAATTCCCACAACTCCGCAGAAAAAGAAAATCTTTTTCGACCATTTGAGTAAAAAAAAAAAAGATTAACAACAATAGCGACTTCTTAAAATTCATGTCATTTATGATGGACGTTTTTCACTTCTAAATTCCGGGATCAAATTTTACAAATGCAACAAATTCATGTTTACTATTGGTCACTTGTTATTCAGTCCAGCTCCGTACTTCGGCTTGTTTAGAGTTCTCCTGATCTTTTCCAGAAAAGTAAGGAAACATTTGCATCTCTCATCGTCTTTTTCGTTATTGTGACAAATGATCAAATTCGAAAATAATTGAGATAATTAAAGTTTTTATTCACTTAGCAGATGAAGCGCCTTAGAAAGAGGGGTACATCATTCTCAGCCTGACATATTTTTACTTGTAAAATCCATAAGGCTCAATAAGCATAATTTTACCATTCATGTTAAAAAAAAAGAAACCTCCGACATTTAAACCGGACTGAACATATAGACTCGCTTACTCATAGAAATTACGTTTTCGTGCCTTCTTTCAATCTGAAATTAGACCTTTTTTTTCTTTGGAAAACTCATCTGATTATTTTTACTAGAGCAATTCTCCTTCCTAAAATTGTTCCTTAATAACACAAGATGGTTATATAATGAATATAATTAATTAAATGAAGAAATAAATATATAAAAGAAACTAGAAAACCAAACATTAAGAAAGACATACACAAAATGAAACTTTTATACGTAAACCGTATCTGAAAAAAGAAATGAATATGTCACTCTAGAATGAAGTTCAAACAATGGATTCAATGAGTAAATTGAAAGAAGCTTCCTACATTAGTCTTGCAGATAAATATATAGGCCCGGCCAATGTGGATTCCTTTCTAAAAAAATGAATAGAAAACACCCAAGCGTATAAAGTAGCCTCTTACACGCGTTGCTGAGAAGCATAACTGTTTGGTTTGTTACTATATGGGCCACAATTTTTATGTAGGCTACCATATGTTGGCTTTCACGATTAAATGGATTGTACAATTGAATATATTTGCAAAAACATTGTGTCAACAATAAAAGAAAGAAGATCAATAATCAGAACACCTCCAGTAATAATGTTTTAGATTACTTATTTCCAATTACGTAACACCAATTTCCCGTCACTAACATTAAAAAATAAAATGTCGAAACCGAGACTTTTGTAAATTTAATCATAAACTCTT